TCTCTTCTGTGCTTTGATGTAGATCTTAGTCTCCTTCTTCTTTTCTTCCTTATCAAAGAAGAGAACCAAGATCCACATTGAGGCAAAGAAAATAAAAAAGAGAATCACGATTTATATTGGAATAAAAAAAAGAAGGAGGAAGTTCAAGACTCTTATTGAGAAAAAAAAGTGAGGTGGTGGGATCTATATCAAGATAAGAAAGAGAGGAAGGAGAGCTAAGTTCTACAGCCAAAAAAAAAAAAAAGAGACAACAAAATCCATGCTAAGGCAAGAAAGATAAAAAAGGGGATAGAAATCCGTACCTACAAAAAAAAAGAGGTGATAGAACCTGTGTAGGAACAAAGAAGAAAGAGAGTGGATTGAAACCCACTTTGAGACAAGGAAAAAAAGGATCTAAATGAGCCAATTAGAAGCCTTGAATATTTGTATAAACATAATTAGTGTATATATAAAAAATTGAGGTGTGCTTGTAGCTTGAGCCTTCTTTATATTACAACAACTAGATTTATTGAAAGATTCTTAGAGAGATTTTAAGAGCTATATATATCCAAGAGGTTTGAATATAATTTTATTGAAGCCTATCATATATTATAAAATATTCTAAAATATTTTTAAAATCTTATGGAAAGATTTAAAGAACTCTAGAAGTTTAAAAAGATGTATAAAGCATAATTTATACTTCTAAAATAAACTAAAAGATTTTAAAAATGTTTGAAGGTGCTTAATGTTTTAATTTTTTGTATGTTTGTAATACAATATATATTTTTTTAGTTAATTTTAGCTCTAAGTAAAAATGTGTTACGAAGTCTGAAACTTCAATTATATATTAGTCTTAAATATCATAAAACATAATATTTGTTTTTGATTTTAAACTGATGCTCTGTAATACAATGAAAAAATAACAAAATAAATAAATAAATAAATAAATAAAAATCTACGCAAAGTCTTAAAATCAAAAATTAAATATTTAACAATAATATGGATAACACCATTATAGTTCCAAAGATGAACATCCAACATCCATTCAAAAATAAGATATCCACATGGAATTGATGAGCTCAATATTTTTCAATTATAAACTACTTAATAATATTTTTATTTTTTAAAACAAAAATCACACTGTTATTCAAAACATAAGATTCAAAATCCAATGTTGAGATAGTATTGATAGAACTCATGTAAGAAAAAATAAAAGAAATAAATAAAAAAAAATATAAAGGAGAACCACCACAGAAAAATAGAATAGAATAACCCTGATTGGGAAATAAAAATAAAATAATTATTATTATTATGATGTGCACCCCAAAGGCCACACCATGGGCGTGACACAATAGCCACAAACAAGTGCAAATGCAATAAACAACACACACGCTTTGGTGAGTAGGCGGAAAAGAACAATCATCCATATATCATCCATCCAACCTCCATCCTCCATCCTCCTCTACCTCCTTCTCATCCACATTGCTAGAAAAGAAAAAGAAAAAGAAAGAAAGAGCGAATGCTAAAGAGAGAGAGAGAGAGAGATGGGCGAGGTGGAGGTGGTAGTGGAGGTGGGGTATTGTGTTGTATTGTGTTGTGTTGGGTACAAGATCAACAACAACAACAACAACAGGACTGTTTGCTCCACTGTTCACCCACCACGACCACAAGACTCCACCGGAATCCTACGCTTGTGACTCCCTCACTGCACTCACTTCCTCCTCCTCCTCACTGTCTCCGTACTTCTCCTACTGCTCCTACTACTCCCTCCCTCCCTCCCTCCCTCCCTCCCCACACGATCATCGCGGCGTTGGTTGTGTGATTCGCCCCGCAACCAGACAGAGTGAGTGAGTTAGTGAGTGAGTGAGTCCCACGCTTCCGATGCTACTTCCGGTTCTGCTCAGTGGATCCCCCCGTGCCTACCTACCTGAGGTAGACCCTGCTCCGACCTCGAACACGATGCTGAATCCCCAACGAATCGGGGTTGAGTCGTCGTCGGAGCCAGAGAAAGAGAGAAAGAGCAGCGGACGAGCACCTTCTGTGCGTCAGGGTCTATTCAGACACAGCTGCACTGCGAACGAGAGAGAGAGAGAGATAGAGAGTGTGAGAGCGAGAGTGAGTGAGCTTGGTAGCTCCGGCGTTGGGAGAGCTGGACGGTCATTGCACGCCACGTTACAACTGATTGTGCGCTGCGACTGTAGGCAGAATAGACCCGGAGGATGTGAACCAACGCTCATGTCCATGGGGCATTGCGTGAGGGAGCAATTCACCCCTCTAATGTCGATGTTTGCTGCTTGCTGATCATGCTCATGTTCCTTGTGACCATGAATCCATGGAATTTGAAGCTTAATAAACCATGACTAAGCAGTGTAATGTAGTGTTGTCCCATCTGCATAACTCTATAACCGTTACGTGGGGGGGGGGGGGGGGGGTGTCTATAGAGTTGTGCTTGTGTGCTCTCGGATCATGAGTTTTCTGTTTGTGGGCTCAAGGGGAAGGTCGCCATTAAAAGTGCCTCCTTTGGCATGAAACAGAATGCACCCAGTGCTTTTTACCATGTCTCTGTTTCCCATTCACAGGTGTTTGATATTCAGAGAAGCCAATTACATTCTGGTGGACTTCCTCTTCCAAGTCCTCTTCGTTGTATCCTATTCCTGCCTTTATGCTCTCTAACAATTTCTGTTACTTTTAGGTTATTATTGTTATTGTTATTATTACTCTCTTTGATATAAAAAAGGACTGTATTATATGAAATGGAGCAAATGATTGTAGCATTTTCGTACTTAAAAGTTGTGTTTATTTTATGCATTTATTTTAGTTACATGAGTGGCATAATACATAAATTTATGTGTTGGATATGTACTCAAAGTAACAGTTTTTTATTTTTTTTTATTTTTTATTTTTTTTCACTAATTCATGTGTGTGTTTATATGTTCTTAATTCAAGATTAGAATAATAAATAATAAAAATTTCTCTAAAGTTATGGTTGTATGTGGATATAAGATTCTAGGTAAGCAAAGACAACAAGTCATTTGAAACATACTCTAAACTGTTGAAGTCCTTTTATGTATTTGAATTAAATTACAAACTTCAATATAATCTCTTTAAGAGAATCAGAACATTCTTTGGAAAAGACAAAAAAAGAAAAAACAAAAAGCAACATTAAAGAAAAAGAGAATAATTTAAATTTAACTGATGGCAAATTCTTGTAAATAATGACCTCATGTGATGTCAACCAAATAAAGGTTAGCAATTCATTTAATGTAAAACAAACCTACATTTAAAAATTTTGAATAAAAACTAATTGGACTATTTCAAGCATATAAGAAATAATTAAAGATGTAAGAGAGTTTCATCTATGCAAAGAAAATGAAAAAGAAAATATAAAACGTAACTTGTTTTTTTACTATAATTAGTAATAGCCTTATATTACTAATTTTAGAAAATATTCATTACCCAACAAAATATTTTATTTTAATGCTTTTTTAATTTTTTATAATAAAATTCATACAAGTTAGAACAGAGAAATAAAAATAAAAATAAAATATACAAGTCACACGAAAAGAAAATTAGGATCATAGATGCTTCTTCAAAAGTCAAAATTGAAGAGGTGGCCTAATTCATAAATTTGCTAAATTCTTATTAGAGTTCATTTGATATTCAATAGGAAACTTTTGTTACAATTCAACACATGAATACAAATTTTACATGAATTGATGTTCTTGGATTTATTTTTGATTATTTAGTCTGCAAAAATATACAAATATATTTATTTTCAGGTTAGATTTAATTGGCGTTTTGAACAAAAGCCAGATGGAAGTAAACACTATTAACAAGAAGACAATGTTGAAGTTGTCTTACAATATGGAGAACACTTTGGATGCATTGGCATAGCAGATTAAGAAAGTTCCTCCACGTGTGTTTTTAGTAGGTCAGCACATTGTCAAAATTGATAGAATATATGTTTGTCTAATTTAGGTGCCATTTTAGATGCCATTTATGATGTCTACAATTAAATAGTTTTCACATCAAACAAACAACATTCTAAAACTTTTAACTTCGAACAATTATCAAATAACACACCACGTATTCATATCACAACAAGCTTAAAGATCATTGATTTCTTTGACAATATATGTCTATATATATATATATATATATATGTATATAAACATTCTTACACATATTTTGCGCTTCAAAAATATTTATCTACCTGGAAATCTCGTAAGGACCTCAAACTGTGAGAATGAGCGCCAAACCCACTTTAAAGAAAAGGAAAGAAAATTAAAAAGAGAAAAGAGAAAAAGAATACCATCATCATTTAGAACAAGCAACCTCAAGTGAAGCATAGTAAGGAATAAAAATATCTCCACCTGGGAAGGCCAAAATATAGCATAGAAATTCGAACCTCGCCCCCACTATTTTGAAACGGCGATCTATTCAAGCAGGAACCCACGCCATAACCTGAGCCTCTCCCACGGAGACCACCGCGCCGTGCCGCACCGTGACGCGACTCGCCGTGCCGCGAAACGCCGCAATGCAGTTAGGACGGTACCAGTCAGGCTTGACCCACTTTAACCTGCCTTCGGCCTCACTCCACTGTGGCGCGGTGCCTGCCACCTTGGCAGGCGTGACACATGGACGAGTTTCGATGTGGATCTAATTCCGATAATCTAGTTTACTCATGGGCTTGGTCACAGTTTTAGGAGGAAAAAAGCAACAACAACAACAGAATATAAAATAACGAAAGAGGAGCACCTGCGTTTCTACGGTCTCAACCTGAAGCTGACGGTTCCGATGAGTTAGTTGCAATTAACAATGGGTGAGTGTCGTTGTAGCCGAGGAAGATAGAATCTGCCGTTTTAGCATCTGGGTTTAACTTACTAGTCATGGGTTAAGCTGGAAGAGGATGAGTCGTCGTCATTCACCGCGTGTAAGTTGACAGGTTTGGTGAAATGATGGTGAATGTGAGAGAGGTGGGGGAGGTGGGTGTCAAAAGGAGAGGCTGGTTTTGTGGAGTAGGACGGGCAGGTGGATGTGGAGGTGCCGAAGAGCAGTAAAAGATTCTGGCCAGGGGAAGCAGCGGGGACTGTGAAGTTGTATCCGTGACCACAGAATCCGCTTGTGGCGTTGTAACATTTGTCCTGTCGCGCTCACTCTTACGCCTCACACTGTAAAGGCTCCGAGAGTGTGGTTCTGTTGTCACAATCGCTCCACGTACCTTGAACTTCCATTTCGGGTTGGAGCTCTCCTCTGTTTTTTCGGTTGTCGGAGGATCGATCAGTTGCCATTGCTGTTCGTCTTTTCCCTGTGTTGCTGAAGGGCATCGATAGTTTGTGTGTGACTCATCTTGTTCTCTGCGAATCGGAAGTTGTGAGGGGTTTAGCACACCAGTTGTGTCGCGTTCTTCGCGAGCTGTGAGAGGAGGCTCTCAACTGTGTCGCGGCTATTGTAGAGAATTTGTTTGTTTGTCCTCTCGTGGAACTTCCCTACCTTTCCTGCGAAGGATTTTCTTCTTTGATAGCCATTTTTAGCGAGTGAATGGGTGTAAAGTCCTTAATGAGTCGGTCGGCTCATCTTTTCCGCCATGGTTTAGTCAAAATTTAGGGGCTTGACGCTTCTCGAGGTTCTAGCGTCCTTACGTGAGTGGTTTAGTTACTTCAACCCGGTGATTGTGGTTTGCAAAACTTGTACAATAAGGTCTAAATTGTACAATGGATTGCCGTCCTTATGATCGGTCGTTGGCCTCGATGTAGTAGGCGTGCAGTGCCTACTCTACGAGTGTTCTTGATCTTCAACCTGTTTACTGGTCGTAGAATTTTCTCTGTGCTAAATTCCAGTAGTTCCCTAGAGTATTTGAGGCTAATGCGATCTTGATCGCCCAGTCAACACCCTCACAAGTAGGTTGTTGCTGTTCAAATTTGGAAACGGTGTAGGTTTTTTGCCACTCATTTTTCATCTTGTGATAGGTTTAGTGATTTCCTGTACTTGCTTGAATTCTTGCCATGGGACTCCCTTCTCCTCCTCAAGAAAGTGCATCCCCTGTTATGTATTCACGAATATGGAGCGGAACTCCCGGTCATTTATTAGAGCGCATTTTGGCAAATCTTCCGGTGGAGGATCTGATTCGAATGTGCAAGGTTTGCAAAGAATGGAACGACGACATCCACAACAGTTCCTCGTTTCGCATGCTTCACAAGGAGCTCTCTAGACGGCAGCTGCCATGGTTTCTCGTGTCCACGAGCAAGAGAAGCTTCTCAGCTTACGACTTGAACACTCATAAGTGGAACCTTCTCACAGTATCGCGCCTCCCAGATCCTGACCTCAGAGTTATTGCATCCTCTGGAGGCCTTCTCTGTTATGGCGAACGATGGGGAGAGCTTACCTCCACAGCACTCTACGCCTGTAATCCTATCACTGGAGAGTGGAGGCAGCTTCCTCCACATCCCGAAAAGACTGTGGATCACTTCGGCATGAAGTACGAAGACGAGACTAACTCCTACAGAATTATGACCATGAACGTTGCAGCTACTGGGGGCACGATACGCAGTGTCACAATCTACGACTCAAGGACTCAACAATGGTCCGCAGGAGCTATTCCGAAGAGCACGGTTCATCTCAGCAAAGCTTCTATGGTGTGGTGCGGTAAGCGTGCCTACTTCATGGACAGGATCCAACCTTTCTGTGAGCTCCACGCATACGATTTGGAGCAGTCAACTTGGCATGAATTGCAGTCTCTTACACCCCAGTTCTTTGAGTATCCTTCTCTCGTTGCCTGCAACGACAGGCTGTTTATGATGGGATTGAGTTCAGACTGTCGCAAAATATGGCGGCTTGTTGATCGGCCAGCAGGTCTGGAGTTTGAGGAGTATGACTCCCTTCCAGCGCAGCTCCCAAACGAGTTTGCAGTGAAGAGGAAAACACAATCCATTGGTGGTGGTAGGTGCTCGAATTACAATCCGTTTCGACTCAATGCGGTTGGGAGTGGCAGCCTCATGTGCTTTTCAAGTAATCTCGACCACACGTGGGTGCTCATTTATGACATGGAGAGGAGGACTTTTTACGAGTCGCCGAAGAACATGCAAGATGTAAAGCTGACTGACTATGTCGACCTTTCATTCCAGCCCTGCCTTCATGCTTCTCCTTGAGGACGAAGGTGACATACATGCCATTGTACAGTAATGTGCAGAAAGAACACATCGGAATGTTGCAATACTAGATGTCTGAGTAAAGGACGTACTGGTCTTACAATTTTTTGTCTTTATATCGCTAGCCTTTGACATACTTCCGTAAGGTATACAGAATTCGACAATCAAAGCATCAGTTGGAATGAAATGCAGTGCAAAGTATATCCTAGATCTGAAGCTCTTCGAGAAACATGCAAAATGCTCGTGTTACGGGATTCATGCATGTAGAGGTCTACCCAGGTAGACTCCTTTTCATCATAATTTTGGTAGAGATGTAGAGTAAGATGTGCGGTTGTCACATCAAGCGACATGCTTCTTACAACAGTAGGTGAACACTGAAATGTGGAATGCGTGATAAAGGAGACCGCTTTCAGTAATTTACATTCGTACGATACAGGATTTGTCAGAATGGTCATTGTTGATCTCAGCAACTTGAGTTTTGGGCAACAGGAATCTTCAAAGCTCGTACTCTGGTGATGAGTTTGGGACGATGCTGTGTTAGAAGAGGTCTCACTTGGCTTTCCTTGAAATCACTAGGGCAAACTTTGTTTCCAGGAAGTACATTACTTGTTATTACTGTTTTTGAACATGCCTAAATCAGCTCCCCTTCCTTGACTGTGCACAAAAAAATTGTTCATGTTATAAAAAACCAATGATGTTGCAGGTTCTTCCCTCTCATAACAATTTAAATAACTTAATCACATAACAATAATATTAAAGCAATGACTCAAACATAATTATTACCTCAAGGTTTTTTATTTGGTACATTTGTTTCTAACAATATCTACAACATATTGTACAACAAGAATTTGCTCATGATTCTCAAGTAAAAAATGTATACAATTTTACAATTTGAATTCCAGTTCGTAGTTCTACAATTTTCAAAATGCATAGTAACAAAACAAAATTTCTCTTGGAATAAAAGAAAAAAAAACTAGAACTAAATGTGTAATAAAATAACTGTTCAATTAGAGTAAATAAGAAATAAGCAAATTTTCTTTAAAAAGAAGCTTTGTTCACATTCTTATTCACATTCTATTTTTTCTTTAATTTGATACATCTTGATTCTATCTCAATCAAAATATGACAAATTTATAATTCTTCAATAAGAATAAAAAAATCTTAAACCATAGAGATTACATCTTCACCATCTCTTGTAATTCCCTTATTAATTTTAACCTTATACCTTATTTAAATATTAAGCACAATCTTAATAAAACAAAAAATACAAGTCAAAGCCAATAATATAAACAAATACATAGATAATGCTCAAACAATGAATGAAATTGAATGCTCTTTGCACATAAAAACACCTACAAACAAATTCTCTTATCTTATCTTGCCTAAGAGCACAATTTATAAAACCACAATATGTACAAGAATAGATAAACATCTTCTACAAATGCAATAAATAATTGATAATAGTTATGCATGTGTACATCAATAAAGACCATCAATACAATTGTGCGCAAGCTAAGTTAATAGAAGGAACAATGAGCGATGGAAAATGTGGCAAGATAAGTAATAAATATTTCTTCAAATGAGATTTGACATATAAAGGTACAAAGATAAGTATTGATTATTTTATTCTTTTAAGGACATAATTATTTTTCTTATCAATGACTTCTACCTCCAAAGCAACTTGAATGACTCTTTTTAAATCACAAGGTCTTATTTTTAATATATTTCAAATTATAGGAGGTATAACAAAATCTTTGATAAATAAGTACCTTATGGTATCTTGACTTGATAGATTACCAAAGTATTGAGTATATACTATACAAAATTGCTTTATACAAGAAATGATATCTTCTAAGAGACAAATCTAAAAGAACTTGTTGTTGGACAATTACATGTCTAAACTAATAAAGAAAGGTTGCTAGGGATTGTTTTCATTTAGTAAATAAATTTTCTATACAAGATCTATACTATGCATATGCAAAATCTTTTAAAGTTGTCAAAAACCATATCATGTAGTATCTATGGTTGATCATTAAACTAGTGATTAAATCTTCTACAAAACTTTCTATGTGAGTTGCTATGTCTTCATTGAAAAATACACTAAAACTTCGAAAGCTGGATAGAATTAAAGCCTCTTGTAATGTCAAAGGTGTTACAATAGATAATTTCCTATATAACATCATTGGATCAAATTGGATATTTGTTTGGAAATTTTAGTTATCTTCATTAGCTACATTAGTCCTTGGAATTAGAAAAGCTAAAGAATCTACTTAAGATTTTGTAGAATGACCTCTACCATGCTCTATTTCAATAGAAGTTTGTAATATTTTGTCAAAAAGCTCTTCTAGCATGTTTGTTTTCAAAACTATAGGTTTTAACAATACTTTGATTTGTAAAATGCATCTTGACTGTAAATCACAATTGATAAGAAAGTAAGCTATTTTAGTCTTAAGTTTAGATGGCATACAATTGAGTATACAGATCAAAGTTAATTACTTAAGGCAAATGATCTTTTGAATGGTTTAAAACAAAAAAATAGACTTTTAATATTTTTAATTTTATTTTGTGAAATAATATAAAATCCTTTATTTTCTTACTTGATTGTAAAGCAAATGGTTTAATTATGTACTAAGATAAGGTCTTGTGCCAATCTCAACATAGTAGTATTATCTAATAATTAAACATTTTCTTACAATTGATCCATGTGTTAAAACTAAATATCAAGTTAAGATCTTGTATCAATCTTAAAATAAAAAATAATCCATTAATTGGATTTTTCTTTATAATAAGAGATTAAAAAATAAAGCAAAGAGAATTATAAGTAGTTTTAAAATTTGTAATTTGAAAATACTACAAAAAACAAATAAACTAGGTAAAAAGAAATTTGTGGAGCAACCTACAACAATTAACTATGCCTCATGTGGATCATCACTTTTCACAAGTACATATTTAACAAAAAAAAAAGAAGTCATGCTTGCCATCAATCCAACTTTACTTCTCATAAAATATCTAAAAGTTCAATCACCTATTACAAACAAAACCAAGATTTCTTAACAAAAGAAATAAACTAGAAGTTCTTTGGTGCATATAATTAAATACTTTTAGTACTTATTTATACTATAAGATAATAGAATAGTTACAAAATTTACTTTATGATAGCAAGTCTTATTGTATTTTTTTTCAATTATACCTAAAATTTTAAATAAAAAAGAAGAATTAATATTTGGAATTCACTTAATTTTATCAAGCTGTATTTCTTCATTACGTTTGTCTAAAATTTTAAATAAATTTAAGAAGTTTAAATTTAAAATCTTTTTAATTTAGCAAGATTTGTTTCTTCTTTGCTTTTATCTAAATTATAAAATAAATTAAAGAGCTAAGATTTGGAACTTACAAAGGTTAATATTCTATATTTTGATATTCTACTTTAATTTAATTTTTTTGTTCTTAGAAAAATAAGAAATATACCAATAAAACCAAATAATAATAATATTAATACTAAATTAATCAAAAAATATTTAAAATTAATAGAAATAATATTAATATAAAAATAATTATTATATTTAACTTAGTATATAAAATTTATCATGTATGTAAAAAAAATAGTAGTAGTAAATAAGAATAAGAATAATAAAAAAAATAAAAAAGATAAATCAAAGTAAAAAATAAATAAAAATAAAAGTAGAATGATAGCATTGCAAATATAATTTTAAGGCTAGATATTATTATAAAGTGCAACCATCATAAAGTATAATATGCATCATTTTTAATTTCATAGCTTTTCCAAGGATCAATAATATTTGAATTTTCACAATTTAGACATACAATAGAATGAGAGAAATTAGAAGAATAATTTTCATTAATTAGGTTTGGATCAAGAAAAAAATTTGACATCAATAAATATAGATTTCCTAAGCTTTGTCAAAAATAAAACCATAATATTGTAAAAAATAAGGTTTAACTTTTATTGTAGTAAACTTGAGTTTGTAGACTTTTTAAAAAAAGATCTTATTTTGTCTTGCATCCAAAAATAATTTTGTATCTCAAAAGTTGTCACCAAATTATATGATTACTAAAACATGTAGAGTTCTGAATCTTACATCTAGTTGCCATTACAATCCATTATTCAACTTTAAAAATAAACTCATGTATCTAAGATTGTCTTTGGAGCTTGTACAATTAATGTCAGATTTTTTACAATAGAGAAGTTTCTTGATATATATATATATATATATTAGAAAAAATATGTATTGTATTAAATGAATTGTATTGGAATTTATACTAGAAGCTAATTACTACAATGATGTCACTTAGTAAATAATCTTTTATCACCAAAGTTTGCGAGTGAATATTTTTAAGAACAATTGATAGTATTGCTTCAATCTTCAAGTCTTATAACAACATACCATGAGATTGACTAATAATTATTACATGTACTTAAGTTGAATAGTAATCAATAATATATTATCTCTTGACTAAATTTAATATGATAACAAAGTGGAATCAACATCCTACAAGTAAATGTTGATCCTAAGTTAGTTTCTTCTATTTTTACAAATAACACTAAATATTTTTTATAAAGCATTGATTCTAAAGAGAATTAGTAGTATCTTTATCACCATACAAGTTAATCAATATGTCAAATGATTAGTCATATATGATTATAATCAATAAAAATAACAAATTAGAAGAATTGATAAATTACAATATATAAAAACTCAAGATGAAGGCGCTATTAAAGAAAGAAAATATGTGGGACCTAATAGATAAGAAGATAGTACCAATTCTATTTCTAATTATAATAGAGGCATCAATATTCATAATAGAAAATTTTAAGATCTTCAATCTCAAGGCTTAGGCCTTAATGATGATGTTAGTGAAAGATAAGTTTACAAAAATTACATCCAAAATTGAAGATCTTTTAGATACTTGGCAAGCTTTGAAGAATATATTTGAGGTTGGTAACTCCTCCTAAATACTACTATTATCCATCCATCTTTATAATATGCAAATGACAGGAGGTGACTCAATTTAAGACTATTTATAAAATATTAGAAACTTGAAGAGCAATCTAATGGCTATGGATCATAAAATGGAAAATAAAACATTGATACAGCTCACTTTGAATGGACTACCTACTAACTATGAAGAAATAATTTAGAGCCTAATCATATTAGATAAATTATCAATTTTTATAATAATTAGTTAAAAATTATTAAATAAATGACACTTCCTTGAATTGAGCAAAAATAGATTAAGAGACGACAAAGCTATAGTAATATAATTCTAGTACAATCAAAATTAATCACAATATCGTAATTCTAATTATAAGAAACTACAAACCAGCTAGGGTAGAGATTACAACTCACATAGCCATAGGAATTATCTAACAAAATCACAATTTTGTAAAAGTGACAGTGTTGTATAGTGACACAATTATATGGTAAAAAATAAAAATATGGGTGTTTTTATAGAAGAACCTAGTAGAAAGATATAGTAGAAAAATAAAGATAAATGATAGGAAGATAATAAAAGGTTTAGTCTTAATGTTGCCTTTTAGAAAAGAAGCTTCTATTTGCTTTGAAGAGATATAAATACCTCAAATCAAAGTAAATGAGATAAGTAATTGGTATAAACATATTTAG